CAGGGCGCGGACGCACAACTGGTTGGGGCCACATATGCTACACACTCTTAAAGACATTGAATTACAAAAACATGCTGAGAGAAGAAGGAGAAGGAGAAAGTTGTGTAAAGAAGGAAAGAGGGGTGGTCGCGATCAGGCCAACAGTTCTCTGTCCCCTATTTACCCCCGACCGCCAACCAGGATGAAGCAGCAGTCATCACATAAAGCAGCTTTTCCACGACAATTTGTAAAACTAAATAGCATCGCTAAATGAAGTTGGGGCGTGTCTTGTTGTGACGTCGAGCGTCGTGTCGGCAAACACGTTTCCCACGTGAGGGCGGCTGTGCCGGCCTGTGCGCCTCCCTGCAGACTGCGACACGCTCCTCGCCCGGCAGCAGCAGCGCACCCGTCAGACGCGAAATTAATAAAAAGACAACAGTTAATAATAGTAATAATAGGGCCGGTAATACCGGGCGCGTGCACCGCGCTAAGTGGCGGGGAGGGGAGAGGCCGCACCCCGCACCCCGCACCCCGCCCACCACCACCACCCTCCCGTAAACGGATTGACTCACGGCCCTCATTGTTGGGTTGGGCATGTGAGTGCGTATGGAGGGCGGCCTGCAGACCACACGCGTATCGACACGCGCGCGAAAATAAATCGACAACGAAACTATGAAAATACACGGAAAGGGTGAATGAGGCATTTACCCAGATACCCCGCGCGGATACCCAAAATTGAGCGTGCTCTTGTCGAGCGTCGGGACCAGGCGCGGGGAATCAGAAGCGTCTTGGCTCGCCAAAGGACAATGTGGTTATATTGCATTGTTCCTATATGGTTGTGTTTCAAAATTAAAGAAAACACACACACACACACACACACACACACACAAAACCACTGACACACTGTATACGCCCTTCCAGGATACGAGTAGCATGCTCTCGAGTATGCCCTAGTATGCTACGAATACGACAGTTGCCCTCGGGCGCCTTTGCACTCGATGCTTTACCAAGCCGCAGACCAGCGTCGCGGTGCGTGCAAGAAAGAGTTTGTCACCCGACACGAGGAGCGTGCACGTACACACACTGTGCGCGTGCCCCGTGCAGGCGAAACGGGAGACAAGGCAGGCGAGGGGGGAGAAAAAGCGTCCTGCCGCTCCCTCTTTATGCTCTATTAGGCGGGGATTTTCAGATTTACGTCTGGCTTGACGCGACGCCGCAATGCCTACGGCGGCGGGCTACGGCGCGTGGCGGAGCACGGCGGGGCGGGCCACCCACCCCGAATCCCCCTTAAACGTCGAGAAGAGACAGAGGGAGGAGCCGTAGTGCCCATCCCCGCCTGCGTCCCCCTCGCGGTCGCAGTCGCACCTGGTAAACCTGCCTCTCCCTTCCTCCTCCACTCCCGCTGCTCCTCAACCCGACCGCTGTCGTGGTCCAACCGAAATCCTACGACGCAAATCTTTGTCCTGATTCGACGGTAAGGACCATCAGGAGGACCGCCGCCCCAGCCGCTTAGCGAGTCTGGCCCTGGTCCGAGCCCCCGTGGGCGGGCCGGGTAGGCAGCCGGCCGGCCGCCCAGTGCGGCGGGCTGGCCCATCCCCCCGGGCGGCGGCGCGCGCCTCTCTGCGGCCGGGTGGCTTCCCCGTCGGCAAGGTCGTCCCGTCTCCCCTGGGAGCAGGAGGCTCCCGTTACCAAGCGGAGATTAAACTCATTAGGAATGAGCACAACTAGCGTTTTATTTTGTTTTTTGTAGACAGGGGACGTATGGTAGAACGAAGCACCACGGGGCGGGCGCGGGAAGTCGGGTCGATACGGAGTTTTTACAGAGTGAAGACTTCCGTTTTTTCGGAATTGTGCATATACAAAAGTTTTGCTTTTTTAAAAGCACGCGATAGCGAACCGAATAAAAATACATTCGTCTGTCAAGAGAACGAGTGCGAAAGATTTTGCAAACGGCCAAGATACTTTTTGCGCCAAAGATCCCCCCCCCCTTTTTTTGGTGTGACACCCCGCGGCGCCACACGCGGAGGGGTCGGGGAGCGAGCAGAGCGGCGAGGTGCCACTTTAATAGAGTTGTAGCAAACTGCCAAACTGGCGACGCTTTGGCGGTGCGCATTCATTAGAATAAAAATTATGATGATAAGAAAAAGGGGGATCTGGTGGGGTGGGGAGAGCAGGGGGGAGGGGGGAGAGGGGGCGAGAGTCGACGTGCCTCCCCTTTATTACGCACGGGAGCCGAGCCGAGCCGAGTCGGGAAGGGAAAAACTGCTAAGGCGAAAAGTAGACGGAGGAGAAGAGTCAGAAGAGATAAGTGACACAAGCGGGGGGAGGAGAAAGGCCACAAAACACTGGCAAACGAGCTAGTCGGGGTCCCGGGGCCGTGTTAGTGTGGGACGAATGGGACGGTAAGAGAGAGGGAGATAGAGATGAAGGGGAGGAGGAGGGCAAGAGACACGGGCTGAAACAGAAAAAAAAGGAGAGGAAAAGCAGAAATGGTGGAGACGCGCATTTCAGTTCAGCCGAGAACGAGAGACAGAGAGAGAGAGAGAAGAGTGAGACGGGAGAGAGGGCGCCAGTGAGCAAGAGAGAGACGGTGATGGTTGTCAGGCGATGACATTTCTCGGGTTACACAGCCTTCCTTAATTTGCCCCCATTACGCGGTGACCTCCGCTGCACCCCTCCCACCCCCTTCCCTCCCCTCTGCTGCTGGCGCTGCTTTCGCTCTAAACGTCGCTCTACTCACTGTCCACTCCACCAGCCGGGTTTGGGGACGCGCTCGTTAGTGGAGGCCGGGGGTCAAGGGGAGGGAGGGGAGGGAGGGGAGGTGGAGCGCCCACATTACAAAACAAAGGGTGCTCCGGCAAAATAACCTTCAGCGGAAGGCGGGGCGGGGGCGTATGCGAGCCGCCGAGCCTCCGAGCCTCGCGGCCTCGAGTCACGGCGGCCAGGGGTTCGCGGCGGGAAGGTCAGAGGCAGCCGAACCCCGTGCACCATGCATGTGCAGCTGGCCGAGGGACCGAGGCCGAGCAGGAGCATCCGCCGCTCGCCCTCTCGTCCTTGCGATAACAACCTTAGCCTCGGATGCTCGGCGCGGAGGCAGAGTGGCGAGAGCGTGTGAGTCATCTCGCACGACCTCTTTCTGCCCTGCTCGCGCCTGCTCGCACGGGGACGAAGGATGTCGGAGGACCCCGCAGGACCCCGGAGGACGCTGCCACGCCCCCGCCATTGTCGCGCCGATAGGAGGCGGAGGCGGGAGGAGAGGAGGCCGGGAGGCCGCCACACGCGCGAGAGCCGCCCGCAACAATCACGACCCCTTTGTCCGATCACACCGCCCCGCCCCGCCCGCGCCTGGCAGGGGCGCTACCCGCGACCGCCCGCGGCGCCCAAACCTAATTGGTACGTATTTAGAGCTATTTCCCGACAGGGTGCACGTCCAGCAGCTCGACCGTGCCACGCCACGTGTTTGTATCCGTGCTGGGCGGGCGGTCTCCAGGGCACTCTGGCGCGAGGAATCTCTCCACCGCTCACCGCATACATTTGGCCTCATTTGAAGGCCTTGTCAGGCCGGCGGTGGGGCGCTGGCGCTCGCCGACACCACTACCACTACTTGACGGCAGCCGCCCCGCCCCGCCACCCCCGGACGACTCTCAGTGCGGACGGATGCCGGGGTAACCTAGTTTGTGGCAGGTTCGCCCTAAATGGGGCTCAGATTGACCAATCAAAACATTTCCCAGCACAAAGCGCCACCGGGAGTTCTCCCGCACGGAAACGAATTTCCCGAGCAATCTATATTCGAATTGAGTTTGGCGCTGCTATTGAGTTAGGCGCAGACCGAGCAGAGCAGAGCCGAGCGAGCGAGCGAGCCGGGGCCAGCCATGCTGGCAGCCACCCCTCAGTGCGGGGGCCCTGATGCCCTGATTCAGAGCATCTGGCGCCACTAGCCGGGGGTAGAAATAACCACCGGGACTGTCTCCGGATATCACTTCCGCGCAATCTCCATCCTCGGCTTTCCGGTTGGGAAAGTGGAATGTAACGCTGTAATGTGCAAAGCTTCAGGAAGGCGCGCGGGGATGCCTGGACTTCCCTATACCTTCACGCGAGGGGGCAATAACTCCCTTTAAATGTGTGCACATGATTCCCAGTGATTCCCGTCCGCTTATAGTAGCAGTTCAACTGGGCGATTTCTGTTGATTTCGGTTAATTTTTATCCTGATGATTCCCAGGCAGGTGTACACATGATTCCCTGCCGCCTCGCCTTCACGTTGTCCTCGACCCTCGCCGACTACAACGTCGCGCCAACGGTGCCCTCTGTTCCACGGAACCAGCTGTTCGAAAACTCTGTGTCTGTGTATGCGTCAGTTTTCTCTTTCTCGACGTAAGCTAGCCAACGGCGGTAAAAAAAGAGAGGGAGATGGCAAGACCTCTCCGAAAGGATTTTCGAACGAGGCCGAGCGAGCCGTGACTTTACCGTAATGCGGGCGAGAAGGGCGGGGTGCCGGGCCGGGGTGCTCCACTCCCCTCCAGGGTCCTCAGCGGCCCTCGCCAGCGCCAGGTCGGCTCTCTTTGTGTCCGGGGCAGCCCTGCCCCCCCCCCCTCTTTCCCTTCCCACGAACGATAACATCACGATGCGATGCAGCCGGGAAGGGTCATAGTGACACCAGGTACACATTAGACATACGGGATAGGGGATTTTGTGCGAGCAGCAGCTAGAACTCTGCAACCTTTCAGAAGCTCGGTTGGCCGCGCAAAGGCAGATCCAGATGAGTCATTTGGTACCCAGCGAATACGGTTTTGTCAAAATGGCATTAAGTGATGTCAGTGCCAAGATTTGTTGTCAATTTTGCATCAAAGACATCTTAAAATGGTCATATTGAAATCAGAGCAAAGCCCAGTTGTTGGCTTAAAATGTCTTGGTAGTTATCCATCTCTCAACAGTTCCTGTATAAATTAAAAAATGCTTCAAGCTGCCTCATGTAGAGCCAACTGAACAGTAAAAAAATTCGCAGTAAAAAAAAAACAAAGACTTAACTTCCAACTTTATTTTTTTCATAAGAGGTAGTTTAATATAAACCTTAAAAGAAACACTCAATCTGACTTTTAAAAATTTATCTCCATTTATATTGGAGATGAAAACAGTAAATTATTGATAAAAAGCAAATCAAACCATGCAAATAATGGCAGGTGAAGCTGGCTTGTCAGGAAAGTAAGACATTTAAAACTGTTGTGATGAAACCAATATGAGTCCAAAAAACCAGAAGCCTAGTACTTTGAGCAATAACACAGTCTTCAGAATCACATTCTGCAAAAGGAGCAGTTTCTCTAAAAAAAAATGAAAGAAGTACATTTGACATAATATGATCACATCTCAAATACCTTATTTGGGTCAGAAAATTAATCTTATCTGCATGTATACTTAAAATAATCTTTGAGTCAAATTCATAGATTCCATCACATTATGACTGAAAAACAATTGCACTAGAAATAACATAAAATAATTTGCTTAATCAGAAAAGCTCTAGCAATTTGCTACCCCAAGCATGTTCACCTGATCACTGAAGTATGTTATTCTGACAGAATCCGAATGTTAGAAGAAAAGTGTAACTGGTTTCAGATCAGACTCTCTCTTTGCCCTGACTATCATTGCAGTTTGTGAAAATAAGGTAAATCTAAAATATTGTACCTTGAAAGCTAAACCTGATCAGTATTTAATATTACATAAACATTCATGATTCAAACAGATTTACTCCTAGTTGTGAATAGATTCTGTAAAAATTACAAAACTATTATTTACAAAAACATTTGTACTTTTCAATGACATTTCCAGGATCGCATAGGATTGATTTAACGTATCCTTCAAGTTTGATTACTGTGCAACACTTTTTATCCTGGTTAATTGTTGTAGGTAAAGCTCAGCTTCTTTTTCCTTCTTTGCTAACTGTTTCCGATATTCTGCAGCCTGCTTTCTTGCATTTGCTAATTCCTGTGCAATGCTCTCTAGATCTGTAGGCATGGGAGGTGCTGGTTCTTCATTTTCTTCCTCCTCATAATTACCCTCACCTGAGTCTACAATGCCTTCTTCAAGATTTAATGAATCATCTTGCAGGTCCGTTTGGACTTGTTGGATTTGTATCTGTTGCACCCTCTCTTTTTGTTGTTTCTGTTGAAAGAGTTGAGTAATTTGTTGGTTTTGTTGAGGCTGTAGCAGAAGGAAAAACATAGTGAGTAACATTTGATAACTAAAGAGATGCCTTTGCAAAGGAAATAAATATGCATACCTAAAAATTTGTAACCAGAAACATGAAACGATAAGTAACCCAACAATACCATTAGTCCTACTACTACCATAGAGACAATCAAACCCAACTAACAATATAATAATAGTAAAATAGAGATGTGAGGGAATAGGAAAAATTCCTACAAGGTAGTACTTACAGATATCATTACTCTTTGTACACGATTTACTGTATTTACCGGCACAGTCTTAATAGTACCAATAGAGCTATTTGAAGCTAAAGTCATCCTTTTAGTTAGTATATTGGGACTTTTAGCTTGCTGCATTACTAATTGACTGGGCACTTGAACCTGCACCAAACACCCAGACAGGAAAAACAAAACAAATGATCATCCCTTCAGCAACTACTACCACAACAAACAAATAAGGTGTACTTCAAAGGACATTTACTAGGCAAATCACTAAACAAATAGACTAGGTTTTCAAGACATTCCTCTACTCCAGTTTAAAAATAGAAGAATTACCCGGAAAATAACCAAATTTAGGCCCATTGACAAATACAGCAAATATGAGATGGATTATGTTTTGAGTACAACAGAACTACATGTAACCCATAAAATAAAATAATGTTTACTTACCCTCCCTCCACCTAGTGCGACTAGTTGACTGGGATGGATTTTAATAATTCTTGACTTGCTGCCAAGAACGGGTGCTTTCTTTTGAACCCCTCCAGAGGCCACACTGTTTAAAAGTTTTCCTTTAGGATACCCTATTAAGCGTCCTCCAACTCGAGTGAGATTTAAGGCCATTTTTCCAGCTTCTACAAAGTAAATTGTTGTGTATTAGACACCAGTTAAATCACTTGGAAACACATCTGAAATTAGATGAACTTTACCAGTGAGAACCACAGTCTGGCCACTTTCCATTGCTGTCTCAACAGTAGTTGGCTCATCAGTGGGAAGCATGGTTATTCCATGAGCTTGAAGTAATTGGAAAGTACTATTATTTACAGTTGTTGTAGCTCCTGAGATAGCATGGGATGTTAAATTTGATAAAGGCGATGCATCAGAATCCATACTAAACGCTGATTTAGCAGCAGCTGAAAAAGATATTTGATTTTAGAGAGGCTCAGTAATAGACATAAAAAATCAATGGTTAAATAAATTACTAGAAATAAAATATTCTAAAAGCTAACAAATGGTATTTTCAAGATTTAATCAAAAATAGTGATAGAAAAACCATCATGCTTATTGTGGAAATACATGAATCACTGATAGGAAATACCCACAAACCAGGAAGCACAACCAGACTACTATTAATGAACATAGAAAATTGTGGAGTGAGAATGAGACAATTTGCTACATAACACAAAAGAAAGTGACCACCTTGCTGACAAAAACACCTAATCTATAGAAATGAATCTAACTGCCACATACAACAGTGACAATTAGACTTTTATGAGGCAAGTAACACATAATTGCTCACCTCCTGCTGAGGTAGTCATCATTCGTTTTGGAGACTGGAGTTTTGAATACGATAAAGTTCTTGTGGTTGAAGTGGGTGGTATTGTTACCATCACCTGTTTGGACTCCATCTGCAGACGAACTCTCGGCTTCTTAAGGATGGGTGGCGCTAGAAATTAAGTTTACAAAATCATGCAAAGCTTGAACATGGAGTCCCACATGCAACATTCATGCTGTCCTAAACAGTAACCTTCTAGCAAATATGATTGATGTCCACATAAGTATAAAAATGTCATAGAAAGTGAAAATATGGAGGAAATTACAGGTAGATTGAAATGAAATGGTACATCTACAGGGAACCAGTAATGAATTCTGTATGTGAGATATGATCTTGTGTTAGGAACACTCCCCTTCTTAATAACTTGCTTACAGAATAGATGGATTATTACTACTATTATTATTAAGAACACTGACCAGCTTGAATTTGTTGTGTCACCTCATGGTGATCAGTGGTGAGTTCTGCAGCGATACTCGCTGTTGCAGCCAAAGATTCTTGTTCCAGCTCAGTTGCTGCTGCTTGTAGAGGAACTTGTAATCTTATTGTGGCATAATCTGAGCTCTAAATACAATGCAGGTCACCCAATTAAGTTTCTAAAAGTACAAAATTCTTTAAAAATGACACATAACATATTCACCAGGGTTACCTCAAGAATCTCAGCAATGTCATGTCTTCCAACATCCTTGGCCATAGATGTAGGAGTTTTGTCAAATTTGCTTAGAGCATGAGGGTCTGCTCCTCCTTGCAATAATGTCTCTATCACTTCAACATTTTGGTTTTCTACAGCCCAATGAAGTGGGGTCATTCGTAACTATTGGCAAGAAGAAGAGCATTTAAATTGTTAATGTTTAGCCAGACAATGCAAACACAATGAGGGGAATGAATACTTTAAAGTTACCATATCTGAACAGTTTACTTCGGCTCCATGCCTTAGTAGGAGTTTGACAGAATCTAAGTGCCCACCTTGGGCAGCCATATGTAAAGGTGTTCTATCAACTTTAGTTCGTGCCTCTTGAGAAATTCCAGCACGCAATAAAACCTCAGCAGTTTCCACATGATTATTCTGAACTGCAAGGTGCAAGGGACTCACACCAAGCTGTTAAAGGAAGAAAATAAAATATTTCGGGGGCACAAGACACTGCCAACTTACGCATTTTGTATTTCACAATCATTTAGTTGAGTCCAACTCAAGCTGCCATCTAGCTTACCCAATCGGTGGTGAATGGGGCTCCTTTACTCATAAGATCCCGAACTGTGTCAACTTGACCATCTTTGGCAGCTATAAGTAACTGCTTTCCCAGTTCAACAACAGCTATTGTCTGGGCTGAGCGATTGGCGGTGACATCCACTATACTTTGTTCGGTCAGAAGCTACAAGAAGAAGTCAAACACGTCAATACCAGAAAATAATATAAAATTCAGACAGAAATGTGATGACTCTTACAGGCATTTGTGAATTTGGAATATGAAACAGACTGGGATCCAGTTCAACATCATCTACACACATGATTCCCTGCATCTTGACTTTCAGTTGAATTCATTCAATGCAGGAAAGACAATCACTGTAAAGAAGATAGACATGTCAAAAAAATATAATATATGTGTATATATATAAACTTTAACATTCAATAAAACAACATAAACAACCACATCACTGTTGTTTTTACCAATAATTAAAAATAAAAATAAAATAAAAAAAGGAACGAGGGTTTAATTAAAATGAGCTAAGCTTGGCAGAGTAAAATTACCTGGCTAATAATGAACTTAATCTCAGGGAATAAGTTACAAATACATAAAAATCAAGTTCCCTCCAAATCATGACATTTAGTGAGGTTAGAGATCTTTAATGAATCGGAACCTAAAGAGTAAAACACCCTTGATACGTGAGTGTGGGTTACAAATAAAGGCCTCTGACAAAACAGAGTTGTCCGCTAACAAGTGCATTTTTATAATGATTAAAGGTGTTGTAACCACTGAACCAAGTACATGTAAACAATGGTATGAGTAGCATCAAACTGTCATAACCTTAAAATACTAAGGTATTACAAAATCTCCATATATGTGCAATACTAAAGTGAGCGTGTCTAGTGTGTTGTCATTTTGCTACTTGATGGGATATTTCCAACACCAACAGAAACATAATGACAGGCATAACCTAGCAAAAATGTGCCCTAGAATCAAGGCTTCAGATGTAAAACGCGTACAGCACATCCGAGGTCAACGACTCGCTTTAGAGACACCTAGACATTATCTGAGCTAAAACTCGATGCGAGGCAATGTTGATGGGTTTGAATCCCGACGTATAAGACTAGCCCGCGCTTTCATGGGTCGAAATTTGTATCAAGAAGAGAAAACAGGATATCTTCTTTTCTAATGTTTAGATGCCATCGTGCCTACTTCCTGTTCCTGTGAACCAACGGAAGTTAACCACAGCACCTTGCGATTACTTTACCTCCGTTAACATTTCCCTTTGAATTTTACAGGGGAATTCCGCATCCAATGAAAATCCAAAGCAAATCACCAATATAAATGATATAAAGCCAGTTAAATCATCGCGTCCCGTACGTAAGGCGGGTGATAGGAGTAACCACTGCCTTACATGGAACGATCTTTAGTTGTGTTCGTCCAAACTTCAGTTCTTTCTACAACCAATCACATTCGTTGTAGGTGGCAGCACAATCGTGGCGGGAAGAATTTAACTCAAAAATTCGGTGCATCAAAAATGTGTGCTGTGTGTGTGTGTGTGTGTGCGTGTGTAAAAAAAGGGGTGGGGAGTGCCCAGGCGACTCGGGTTTTTGAATCAGCACAATTATGTACATAGACTGTTGACCTCCATATTTATTTCAGTAAAAATTAGAATATTGTACAATGTAGGAAACAGTATCCGGTATTTTTCCCGTTTTGCCAAGTAACCATTTGTGGTGCTATTCATATGGTAACACAGCAAAGAAACAAATGGCAAATGAGAAATATTAGCTAAATGCTATGTATATAAGAGCTTTACTATCAGCTAAATTAATCTTAGTAAGTCCACATTCTTTGAATACACTAAAATGCTTTTGAAACACAAATTTCAAAATAGATGAAATCAACATTACAATTACGAAGGCCATCTGAGATGTTGAGGCAAAGGAGTCAACGCATAAATCAATACATTTTCTTGTTTAGCTATGCACACAAATAAAAGCAAGTTTCACTATGAATCAGAACTAAAATATGATGTCATATATCAGCAGATAGTCACAAATTTAATTGAGGAGGAATTCTAGGTCACATTCAGTCCATGAAACAACATTGGTCAGAACTACTATTGTTATGTTTGCACATTGTGTTTCTACTTTCTGTCCAAAATTGGATGGGGTAAAGTATGAACCTTTATCCACTACACTAGATTAAGAAACACAAATTTACACTAGGTTTTGGCTTTCATGTGTAGATCAAGTTTCAAGTATCTAGCCAAAGCCTACATATTCCTGCAATTTATTCCTAGTTTTTGACCCACTTTGTAACTGTAAAATGTTAAAAGAAGATTTGAAAAAAGAAAAGAATAAATTAAAATAATGAGGCTATACATGCATTAGATACACACCTCTTGAATTAATTAAGTTCTGACTGGCATGGATAAAGAGTATGCCAAAAATATGTCAAAGTTGGACATTTGTATCAATTTGGTTCTAAAACTTTGCTATGGTTTAATTCCAGGACGGACAAATTTGTAGAAGTTTGGAATTCATACCACCGCCCACAGGAAAACTTTCATTTCAGTTGGCCCAAGGTCAAAACAGTTTTCAGTCATGAAGTCATAGAGTTAAGTCTTTCTTTTATGTAGAAGACGGAAGAATATGTTGTAAGTAGTGCTTGTAAAACCTTGATGTGAATAAGGGTTATTGCTAGCTACACAGATTTCACCATTTGATTGCACGATACCACAACATGGAAATGCACCCCAATACATCAAAATAAGGGTAAACGCAAATGACTAGAGACTTAACAGAATCTGTACTCTTTTCTTTCGACTGCAAACTCAGTCTTATTTTAAATTAGAATTCCATCCACAGAAAACAAAAAAAGGCTTATATAATTTTTTCGGTTCCATTTTGCTGTGTCATATACATTGTAATACAAGGGGCATTCAGTAGAAAAAACTAAATACAACAGCAGTAGCCATTATATCAATCAAATATGGAAGTAAAATTGATTTACAGGAGACATTACTAGACGAACAAGAAGCAAATCAAAAACCTATAAAACCATTTTTATCTGAATGTCAAAAGCTACACAAAATAGACCTAAAGTTAAAAGGCAAAATGTGTATTAAGTAGGGGAGGGGAGGGGTAAATTAATTGATTAAAACAAAAGATTTCTGTGAAGTGGAACCATGAGTAAAGACATACTTAACAATTATGAAGTTAAAAGGGTTAAAAAAACAAAAACAGAAAAAATTCTTTTTTTTGTGCTTTCTCCTTCCATTCATTGTCAAAAAGGTTATTGAAAATTAGTGAGAATACGTATGTTTTTACAAATATTTTCACACACAAGATAGGACACATGAACATAACTACATAAATATATTGTTATATATGTATGTATTTATATATGTATAATTATTTTTATTTACAATTAAGAGTTTTCATTAGCCTTATTGTAAGACTATTTGTTCTATCATTGTATTGATTGATGCATGCCGATATGTCATGCAAACTACTGGTAGTTTTGTAAAGGGTAACACTTCAAGAAAACAGTACCACATGGAATGCATGAACTTTGTGCATGTACAGTGAGTATTAAAATGACTTACAATTGGGCAAACAATAACATCCCTAGATACACAATAATGAATGTGTTTCTGGTGTTACATCAACTTATACTCTAACATCAAATTCTTGTGGCACATTCTTGTCACAATACAGTAGCAAGTTCTCTACTGGACTTTAAGAATTGCATCAACTGTCAATTGAAAGGTATCTATAAGGTAACTAGATCTTTTAAAATGTATGTATGACAATGCATATGATCAGAACTAATGGCAATGCAATTACTCATACCCATTGAATCCAAGACACAAAACAGGTCACAGGTCAGGCCCTCGTTGAGTAAGGAACATTGAGGTTGAGAAGCCAACTGACAGCATAGGTTTCATTTTTTTTTTTTGTTTACCTTGGAGCGCAGTCAGCGTAAAATAAGTTGAAAGGAAAAATTTTGTGCGGGCAAAAAAATGATTTGACAAGTTTAGTGTAGTAGGCAGTTCTAGAGGAAGTACAGAAAAGTACAATCATTCAGGGATTTAATATAGCAATAAGCATACTATGTATGAAGGCATTGTATCAAAATAAGGTGAATGCAAGGCAATAATTTACAAATGCTTTTGTATAGTAATGCTACTCGATCATTAAAACACAACAAAACCTTATTTTATACAATGTAGTAGATAAAAACAATAAAAATTGATCAAAAACAATTAAGCTTCTTGGTGACAAGCAGCACATCTGAGAGAAGACATGTTAAATATATTAGAGGAACAATTTTCAATAACAATGACTGTGATGCAAAATTCAGAAAAGGTGGCTTACAGATATCCTATAGGCACAAGTAATTTAAAAAATGCACACCCAACACATAGGAGTAATACAATAATACAGTACAACAAATCAAATACACCTTGAGAGAAAAGTTCTAATGTAACCTAGTTAATGGGTGGTAAACTTTCCAACACAAAATAAAATAGATTAATAGTAAAAATGAAATGCTCAACAGTAGTAAAAATGATTCAAACTCATAACTCTTGGCACGGAAAAAATTGTAACCTACATTTCTTGATTTCAAAACAATACCACTGAAGACAGACCAGACAAACCTCTGTTTAAATTTTATGTTGTACCAACATCTCAGTCATTTCTTCCACCAAAACAGGCAGATCAAACAAAAATAGTAAATGCAAGTACATGTAAAAGGTAATTCAATAGTGGAATTCTTGTCAGCTGGGCCACAAAACTTGTGCTAAAAGCTTTGTCACCTCAAATATTGCCCAGTCCGAAATAAATGAACTTACAGGGTAATTAGATTAGTATAACATACATAAAAGCATATAACACAATTTGCACAAAATTAAATAAAACATGATTTCCTCACAATTTCTCCACAGCAAAGTCATTGGCATTTAACTTAACTTTTCAAATGGAGTATAACAATTGATTTATTCTTCTAGCAGACACAGATAATTTGATTCGTGATAACAAAACAATAAAACTAGAAAATGTTGTTCTTAAAACAGTAAGTTAAATTTTAAAATCTTAATTGGTAAATGATGTCTAATACGAATACGTATTACATGCAAAATATCAAAAATGCAGAAGTACATGTACACTGTACCAATGTGCTCAGAAATAATGCCTCCTTGCTCATTTTACATGCACTCTCCCAGTATCTTTCTCAAAAAGAGGAGAAACTTCAAGAGCAGAAGAAGTTAGATAGAATAAAGTTTGAAAAATCAACAAGTGACAACAAAAAGTAATGAATGAAGATTGACTGAAATCATAGTAAAATGTAAATTAGTTCCAGCATACTCTTAGCTGAAAGTACAAACTTTCAAGAAAATGAAACACAGAAATCTTTTCGATAAAGAAATAAAAAGTTAAAAAATACCAATTGGTCAGAACCACATCATCACAGCCTAAGACCAGCCTGGAGTTAACAGCTGAAAAGGGAGAGGGAGAGAGGGAAGGGGAGAAGAGGGGGAAACATGGCAATAGAACAGAAACACAGCACATATTTTAAAACGCTGTCAATGGTGAGCAAGATAAAAATGGCGCAGAAACGTGAACAATGGAAAACCATTATCAACAAAAGATTAGAACACAGATATAAACAAAAAAGTAAAATATATGCACATGCAACAGCAGCAACATGCTTTGTACGACTAAATTTAACATATCATTTCTCAGACAGAATTAGTCAAGAGTTGATCCTCTCAATATTCAATCAAACAGATAAAGAAAGAGGAAAGCAGAACTAGCATTTACATTGCCAATTACAACCTGGTCCATTTAAGAAATAGCCATTTTTAAATCAATAAGTAATGGTTATTAGTAGAAAGTGGAAAATTTGTAATGTTCCATAGCTTCTAATTCTTACTTCTGTTGACCACTCCTGTAACACTTCCCTAGGTATAAATTTTCATTTTCATGCCTTCTGGAAGCCTACATCTAGCTCCATCAGGGGCAGCATTAATATTTTGGCCTTCCTAAGGCCTGGTCCCTCCAGCCTTGATCAATTTCTTCCTAACTCTTCTGTTTGAAGCATTAAGCATCAGTTTCTTCACCCTTCAGCCGTAATCGGGCAAAATCTTCAAAGATTATATCGTCGTCCTCTCCATCACTGTAAAGAGCACAAGATTAGATGAAGTCCATTTAAGCTGGCACCAGTTTAATAGATGTACTGAAGTACTATTGTACAATACATACGCTATATCAGCGTCCAGCTGAATCAAATTATTATCAACAGGAACATTATCACCCGTATTGCCATTTGCTTGTGGTAAAGTATGTGCAGGGGATAGACGAGGAGGAAGTGCAGGAACATCATCATCTGGCATGGGATGCATCAGAGTAAAAGGCAGTTCAGCTACTAGGTCGCTAAACAGAAAAAAAAAATATTTTGTAAACCAACAAAAGTGATAAGTTTAGAACACACTATGCTAGAAGATGAATAAATTAACCAAATTCTTGCATAAAACACTAACCCTCCAAGAGCTCCTAAACAGAGTTTCACTTTGACTTTGTATTGAACAATTATTCCTAGGTTTTCTTTCTGTGATGGATCTGTCACTCTGTAATAAAGGAATCCCACATTAACACATAAAAAGGGCTGTAATAAGCATAAATTTCAAAAAGACACGTCAATATCTCACATTGTGGAGGATGCTAGATTTGTGTCCTCATGTTTCAGCTGACCATCCAATGCTAAGCCTCGCTTATCCTTGTTGTTTAGAAGTAGGGGCTTCACCTGGTACACTTTTGACAAAGTAAAACCAGGACTAACAGGACATCCCGCTCTATGGATTAAAGAAAGTATAAAACTTACATGTATGTATATGACAAGAGATTTGAATATTGAAATACAACACTAATTTGAGGAAGGTGAGGCCATAAAGCAGCCACACCCTGGGTTGAAACATAGAAATTATTAACAAAGTAGACACTATTGACTTACTCGCTCTCAGCTTCAGCAACGGTGCACTTATATTGGGCAGTAGAGAAGAGACAGATATCTGCAAACTGTCTCACTAATTGAGAGAAAAATAATTAGTTTTGACAAAATATGAAAGAGTAAGTAATTAGATAAACCGGTAACATCATATACCTGATACTTTTATCTTCTTTACAGTTCTGTTTGAATTATTTGCTATGTGAACATTAACTGCAATTGTTTCACCATGGTGGTACAGCTAAAAATCAAATTTAAACATAACAAGGTATGAAAAGCAAGGCCAATAGTCATGTAACAGCAATGAATGATGCTTGCGTTTAGTTTAGGGAGTGCTACGGGTCCTGAGACTCATGCCCTAGAAACCAATGCAAAGTATACCGGGAAATAAACATTCCCCCAACAGCTCAGGACCCCCTTGTACCCCTCTAACTAAACTCAAGCGTCTTATGAGAAAATTTACCTCTTTGTCCAGTGATGCCTCCAAATGTAATTTGTTTGGGCTTAACATAAATTCTTTGCTGACTTCTACAGACGGCTGCTCTCCTTGTTTGCTTGGGGCGTACATTATTTTTCTGATGGCCAATCGAACTGAATTCCTAAAAAGAGAACATTGCAAAAATTATTTTTCTGGAGACCATTTAATGAATGGATACAAGACAGTGAATACGTAAAGAGAGTTTCTAAACCTTTTGTGTGGTTTGTCATCTGATGAATCCCCTACGAATGCTTTTAATTCATAATCAACTCCACATGGTTTACCAGTGTCACCAGGTGCTGGTTGGAGTGTGACAGAGGCTGGGCAGTGAGGTGGTAACTCAAAATAAAAAGGATAAGCATTGGGGCCTAATTTTCTAATCAATCGCTCCTAGAAAAGTTTGATCATATTAAAATTAAGGTTGAGACATGCTACTTACAGATCCAGTGATTTATTCTACAGTTTCAATGACTCAAAACAAAATACCTGCAACCGTGTCAAAGGACGCTTGGGTGATGCAGCTGCCACGGGATCAGGAGGATAAACTTGTTCTGCTGCAAGGTACAAATCTTTTCGGAATGTAAGTCCAAGAACATCTAAATCTTCTCTCCCATATTTAAACGCTGCTAGAACATGGCCAAAGACCTTACGCTCTTTCACATACTCTGGGTCAATGAGCACAACTCCGTCTGAAGCAAAAAATAGCAACACAATCGATAATGTTGATAAGAAACACAAAATTAAATGCAATTTTCTGCATATTAAAGTTCAATCAAGCTAACCTATTGGATCGACATGTGAGAGATGGTCTACAAAATCTCTTTTCCCAAGATACACTGTAATCTGATAAAGGAAACAATATTGAGATAATTTGTAAAGATAATTTAATAACATGATCCATTACCCGCATGACTTACTTTTCCATTTGCTGAGCTCTTCTTGAAAACTCTCGTAGCTTGTCTTTTCAGGTTGTTGTCAGCGTTGTCATCCATTCTTAATGTACTATCTGAACTGTTGTCTGTTCTTGACCCCATCAGGGCGCCACTCTCTGAAAGACAAGAAAACATTTTGCTAATTATGTGCACTGACACAGTCAAACACACTATTCTTCGCAAACTCATCAGTACTTGACTCCCAGAGTCCAAGCAGCTTTTGGCATCCAGGAGACCTAGCGTCATGACAGGCAACCAAAAGGTACGCCCATTAAGGTCCAGGGCACACCTGAGAGAGACCGCGCGCACTTCAGACTTCAGTGGCACGCCTTGACCTCGCACGTGTTGGTCGCGATCACTTCGAACGCGCCAAAAGGATTTCCCTGTGGCACGCGCGCCGCACGGCCCGTGGCACGGCCGCCGCTTCCCCCCAGTCACCTCGAGTTGACTCGCGCTCGCTGCGCAAGCGACGTGCGGGAAGGGGGAGGCCCTATACACACAGGGCTTACCGACCCTGCCTGAGGGCAGGCAGGGCAGGGCATGGCTGGGCTGGAGGCACATGAAGGTGGGGAGGGGAGGGGAGGGGCTCAATTGAGGACAGCACCGTGTCACATCGACGCCTCGCCCGACCAATACCCTCCGCGGAGCGGTGGTGCCTGCCCGGCCGCACCTGCCTTGCCCTGCCCGGCCCTGCCCTGCCCCAGCCTCACCGCGTTAAACGACCGCGAACTACCCGCAGGACGGTACGCGGTGAGGCCGGGGCGACGCTTCGCTTTTATTGATTGACGGGAGACCGAGAGAGGTGCGGGCAGGGCAGGAAAGGAGATCGGGTAGAAGGGCGGGGGAGGAAAGTGGAAAGG